AGGTGTATTGTTAGCAATGGGGAGGTTAGTCCCCATTGCTAACAATCCCTTCCCTTCTATATACTATACTTGTTGTAGATGCATAATATATGCATCTAAAACAAGCATAGTGATTAATACGGATTAAGCCGCCGCATACAACTAGTATTAAATATATACTGTGGAAATTCGTCTATTTTTACGTACGACTGTAACACCTAAACTACTGAAAATCATTGTGGTTTATTCCTAGTGAATTGAGCAGAATGGGTCAACGGACTTTATCTTCCCCGACTATCCTCACTGGTACCCCACCATTAATAGCACAGAGTAGAGAATACGCAGAAGGAAAGCTTTTTTGATATGCCTACAAATTTTTAAAGGTTGTCACAAGAAAGGTAAATAAATAAATAATACGTATTTACTAGAGGGAGACTTCGTATAAAAGTCGTCTACTTGGGCACCTCTGTCCCATTCGTGTTTCTATTGTGAAGCAGTTGTGTTGGCATTGCTGTGTTTCAGTCGTCGTTTACTAGTTTACTTTTATAAATTTTAAGTCGTTTACTTTTGTACAAACTCTCCCTCTGGTGTCTTACGTGTTTTAAACATACATACCCACTTACTTGTAATGAATGTTTTGAAATATAATCAAATATAAAACTATACGGGTATTTTTACGGGAGTTTTTAGGTTAATTACAGAAAGATACGTTTTTATTTTATGATTGTTCTTGAGACTGTACAGTGCAGTTGAAAATTTTGTGCAAGTAGACGTGCGTTGTACAACCCTCGATTTGTCGTCACTGCGCAAGCCGGTATAAACCGGATTATTTCAACAGAGCTTGTGCGTTAGTAACCTATGTGTACAAGCATTGCTTACTTTTTTTATAGGTGAAAATGGAATGGTAACGCCGCCTGCGGTAAACGCTGGCAAGGCACCAATGAGATATAATAGGCGAGGATCTATGCAAGTCAGTTGGCATATCGTGGCGAATTTCAAAAGAATTACGATGGTTTTCAATGGGTTTAATAGAGGTTAACCTGATAGGGTATATTGTTAGCAATGAGGCAGTTAGACCCCATTACTAACAACCCGTTTTCCCCCATCATCGCTTGCTTATTGTACTGTTCTTATCCCAGCATATTTCCAAATATATTATCTTCTGGGTATTACCTACTCTATGCCAATAGCGCAGGCGGGGTGATCATTAATCAAAAGTCTCAGGCATAAAGATCCTACTTCCAAGATTTATTTACAACTCTTGTTTAATCTTAGAAAGGAAATTAGAACAATGTCTACGAAGGAATGGTGTTCTAAAATTATTTGATCACAAAAATTTTTTCGCGAACATTTCACCAAGAAGGAAAATCGAATGCAAATCGTGTCCCGCGAAAAACTTTTTGCGGAGGTATTAATTTTTGCGGCTTCTGAAGACGCGTCTTTTTTTATTCTTTTAATCCTTACTAACATTATAAATGGGAAAGTGAGTTTGTTTGTTACCTTATAGCGCCTTAACGACTTTATCAATTATTATGAAATTTGATATACATCTATTCGTTTGACCTTTAATAAAAATATCTGGCCGTTTTTTTTTTATATTCATATATACCTTTTTGAAAATAGAATTATATTTATCTTTTGTTTTACTTTCACTTGTGTCACTATTCTGAACAGAAATGCACGTCTTCTAAAACCTGATAGAGACCAGTGGTAGACTTTGTACAAAAGTCGTTTGCTTGGACACCTCTGTCCCATTTGTTTTCCTACCGTGAAGCAGTTGTGTTTCGGTTTGAAGATTGGGATATGGCAGTATATTTACAGAGTACAGAGGAATAACACCTGAGTCCTCAGAAATAGCGACGCATGGAAGGTATCATGGGCGAAACAGTATACTCTGTTATGTTCATGGTATTGCTCATGTCTATAGGCGACGGTTACCCCTTTCATCAGGTGTGCCGTCATCTTGTTTGTCATTCTAAATCGCATAAAAAAATCTCTTTTCATTACTGGTATATACTTACTACCTATATGGGATGGAAAAGGATACAAGCTATTTTTTGTCTCTATCATTAAATATATCCTGTCAGTCTACCATGAAATGAAATTCCGAAATTTCGGGCTTAATTTCGTGTTTTTGTTCGTGTCAAAATCGACCCAGTAAATGGAGCTTAACATTTCATTCATCATAAATCCTATTCTAATAGTCCAAAGAAACGATATTTTAACCTTTTTAATAATTTTAAACAGCATGTATTATGTAATTTTAACATTAAATTTCTGTTTCGTTCATCCCGAAATTTCGGAAAATACTTCATGGTAGGCCCTCTGGTTAGGTACGTAGACCAATTCGCAGGGAAAAGCTAATTTAATATAAAAATACAATATTAAAGATCTTTACAGATACTTATTATTACAAAAAATATTATTTTTTTGTACATTAGAAGATTTCTTTGTTACAGAATATTGATGAATATTCATATTTAAATACCAGAGGGAGGCTTTGTATAAGATTCGTTTGCTTGGGTACCTCTATCCTATTCGTGTTTTTACCGTGAAGCAGTCGTGTTTGCATCTCGGTTTGAAGGGTGGGATATGACGTGAATTTACAGAGTACAGAGGAATAACGCCTGAGTCCTCAGGAATGGCAACGCTTGGGGGGTATCATGGGCGAAACAGTATACTCTGTCATGTCCATGGTATTGCTCATGTCTATAGGCGATGGTTACCACTTTCCATCAGGTGGGCCGTCAGCTTGTTTGCCATTCTAAGTTGTATAAAAAAAATTAAAAATATTTCCAGAAGGAACACGGGTTGAAAAATGACAAAAAATTATGAGCCTTGTTATCTGAAAGTAGATATTTTATCAAAATTGATGCATCGGTTTAGTTTTTAAATCAATATTTGGTTTTATTATATCTCAAGTTGTTTTTTTTTATTAAACACCATCTTATTTATTTGTAATATTATTTGATAATAAGTGTTTCGATTTAGAAGAAAAAAATATTTTTCTAGTAAGCAATGCATGTATTGCGGTGTAGGTACATCAAATTTCTGTAAATATATAATATAACGGAATATTTTACTTCCTTTGCCTTAATTTCAAGTACTCTAATTAAAAAATGTTATGCAGCTAGTACGAGTAATTAAAGCGCTGCATCGCTAGCGGGCGTCTGTCGTACAGTTGTAACAAAAGTGCTGCAGCGAGAACTGCCTCTGGCGCTGACCATAGACTAACTTTTTGTATAGATATCACAATGTGTCTTTAAGTATTTTAAATATTTATTTATTTAAAAGGCGGACTTAACACCATATGGCGTTATTAACTAGCCAACCGTAGACAGAAATAACAAAAGATATACCTAATTGAAGGTACAAAGAAGTGAGCAAATAGAATAAAAAAAAATTGTCTTTAAGTAATTTAAATATGTTAGGTAAATAGTAATTTAATATTACTATGAACATAGGCCTTCCCCATTAGAGGCTTTGCCAGTAGTCGCTACGCTTGGCAGGCGGATTAGCAACCGCAGTTAATTATTCACCTGAATGCCTATTGTGAATTTTACAAAGATTTATGTCATGAGTGTTTTTTATGTTTACGTCAATAAATTTGGAAATCTTAGTTTGGTCAATTGTAATAATTGTAAATTTTTGCCTCTAATTAAGTTCCAAATTCTTGATCCCTGACTATCCCTGGTTTAATTTCTGTCTCTAAATAGGCTAAAAAGATTCTACTGGAACTTTGTCAATATATAATCTTAGTGCCGCGACTCTGCATTGCAGTTTGTCTGCAGCTTTGCGCTTTGAAAAAGGTACTCGTGCTGTACTCGTGTAACGCTGAATTTTTATATAGATTGTAATATTTTGCGTCGTCTATCTTGATCTACGTCTGTGGGCCTAACAAAAGAGCATATATTCAGCGACGCAAAAAAAAAGAAATGTGTAACTAAAATATATGTGAGGTTCCGTACATTCATTTTATAATAATTAACGTTTTACCAAAAACGATTGGCCGAATGTGACACTATCTAAACTGGTGAATCAAAAAAAAAAACAGGAAATTTTGTATGAGTATAAATAAGATAGCTAAATGAAAAAAAAAAAATTCTTCACGCGGTTGTATTAACCGCGTTTAATATAAATCGATTACATTACAAAAAGAACCCTAAATCTCTGGGAGTAACGGATATTTTTCTTATCAAGAACATGTTACCTTCCATCTTGTATTTTTAAACAATATTTTTCTTGTAATATTTTCACTCCGCCTCGAGCCTACGATAGCTATCTACTCGTATGTGTTTAGTGTAAGATATGTATCGCTCGCAACGAACATTTTCTATAACGCTTAATGCCTGTGTAGATATATATATATATATTTGTTATTTATTTATATATGTTTATTTGTATTTGTTATTAATTTATACTTGTTATTTATATATATTTATTCGTTTATATATGTAATTTTAGTATGTATGTATATCAATAATTAGTAGTACCGCACACTAATGAATAAATAAATAATATATATATATATATATATATATATATATATATATATATATATATATATATATATATATATGTACAACGGGTAATTTTATGAATTTACTATGTTTGTCGTCTCCGACAATTGTTTCTACTTCTTCCAGAGGGGGGAGGGATTTTTAGTAATGTGGACTACCAGTCCGATTGCTAGTAATATACTCTTGCAGGTCGACCTTCACGCGGTTGCCAATCCGCCCGTCTAAGGGGACCCTTATGTTTAGTAGTGAACATGCCATATGCCCTTAAACCGAAATATAGTCATGCAAATACATACATCTGCTTCACAGCAGAAACAAGAGTGGGACAAAAGTACCCATTCAAACTACTTTTGTACAGTCTCCTTCTGTTATATTAGTGGCATATAAAAGTATCTGCAAAGCGAATCCTATTATGATTCATGTACTTTTAGCTCCCAAGTTCTAGGATCAAACAAAAAGATGTTCTATGATTAGTGGTATAAGTGCGATTTTTATTCGCAGCCCGTGGTCAAGGAGGGTTACCTGATGAAGCAGACGCGCAGCTTCCAACGCTGGCAGCGCCGCTACTTCAGACTGCGCGGGCGCACGCTCTACTATGCCAAGGAGAAAGACGTGAGTACATATTTACAGGCATCTATCCCTTTCGGTATTTGGTTTTTTTTTGCGATGGGAGAAGGGGGGAGTTAATGGCGAGCCGTCAGGCATTCAGGGGTTTAGTCACTTTTTCAAGAGTTTTTGTATTGTATTGTATTATTAATTTACATTGGACACATTGAAAGATTTAATATGCAATTTTTAAATAAAGTTTTATTGACGTTCCGGTACCAAAGTTGGCGTGTAACGTAACATATAAATCAATTCGAAAAAAGAAAATTAAAATAAAGGATAAGAGAAAATCAATAAAATGGCAGCTTAATGCTGAGGTAGTTACTATTTCACTGTTGCGGCACATAAAACTACGTACAAGTTTCTGTTTCGCTTATAAATTCATTAATTATGTGCTTATGGTGGTGAATAAAGTGCTGTATGGTCTCAGCATAGAATAGACCACCCATTCCTTTCCCGTGGGTGTTGAAAGAGTCGACTAAGGGAGGGCGAGAGATGGGCAGCAGCGTCCCTCTTGAAACATCTCCAAAGCCTAACTGCAGTTGTGAAACCACTTGCGAAGCGTAGCAACTATTGGCAAAACCTGTAAGGGGGAGGCTTATGTTCAGCAGTGGACAGTTAAAGGCTGATATGGTGATGACGATGATGATGATATGTTACGCACGGTTATTATTATTATTACTCACAGTATGGACGCCGAACGGTCAACGCTAGGTTCTGAGTAGCGATCTTATTAGTCTAAAAATGAAACACGTGTCGCAACATGTGCGTGGACTAACTGCGGTTGCCAATTCGTCTGTCAAGTGTGGCAACTACTGGCAAAAACCCCCAAGGGGGAGGCTTACGTTCAGCAGTGGACGGTCAAAGGCTGATATGATGATAAATGATTAATAAAAATTACGCAAGCCTTGAATATGATATTTATATTCTTTACCTTGTAAAATATATATATATATATATATAAAATATATATATATATATATATATATATATATATATATATATATATATATATTATACAACTTAGAATAGCAAACAAGCCGACGGCCCACCTGATAGAAAGTGGTAACCGTCGCCTATAGACATGAGCAGTACCATGGACATAACAGAGTATACTGTTTCGCCCATGATACCCCCAAGCGTTACCATTCCTGAGGACTCAGATGTTATTCCTCTGTACCCTGTAAATTCACACCATATCCCACCCTTCAAACCGAAACACAGCTATGCCAACAACTGCTTCACGGTAGAAACGAATGGGACAGAGGTACCCAAGCAATCGACTTTTGTACAAAGTCTCCATCTGGTATTTGTATATATATGTATATAATTCATTGAAATTATGTCCACGTCACCTCATGAATCACTCCAGTGTCCGTTTCACTGATTCACAGCGTTCACAAGAGATTTTACGCGAAAATTGCAAAATGAATATTATTTTAATTTCACGGGAACAGTTCAATTTTTAGAGTGACATAACTGGAGCGACTGTTACGTGTATCAACTGATATGTATTTTGGTTAGTTCATATTTTTAAACACCCGTTTCCCGCAATTTCTCCAGTGATCTTCTATTTTCGAATGACTTCAAAAAGAACACGCTCAATTCGATTATTACCTATTTTTTTTATACCACTGAGGTGGCAAACAAGTATATGGCTCACCTGATTGTAAGCGGTTACCGTAGCCTATAAACGCCTGCAATACCAGGGGTATTACGCGCGTTGCCGACCCTGAAGAAACCTCTTTACCTCCCTTTTGAAGAACCCTATATGCTGTAGTATGAACGGCCGGATACTGCAACAAATGAGTATGCGGTCAGCCCCCGAACTGGCGACCTCTGCTATCTACCGGTCCCGAATTCGAGGGACGACCGATCACCGGCCGTATTTTTTTTTTTTTTATACAACTTAGAATGGCAAACAAGCTGACGGCCCACCTGATGGAAAGTGGTAACCGTCGCCTATAGACATGAGCAGTACCATGGACATAACAGAGTATACTGTTTCGCCCATGATACCCCCCATGCGTTGCCACTCCTGAGGACTCAGGTGTTATTCCTCTGTACCCAGTAAATTCACGCCATATCCCACCCTTCAAACCGAAACACAGTCATGCCAACACAACTGCTTCACGGTTGAAACACGAAGAGATGACACACGGCGCCTATGAAAGCACATCAATCACGTAGTTGCATTACACTGTGCAAAAATGAATTTGCATGTATTTTCACAGCATCGTGTGACACAGCGTTAAAAACAATATTAATATGGGCGTATATTTTTTCACCTCGTCAAAATCGTTTGCTGCGATAACATATTTTGCATAGAAATTGCTTCGTAAATCGTGTCAGCGAATAATATTGGATATTTTTGATATTAAACGCTTCGAGTACATAATTTAGGTGTGACGATTTAGTTTTTACATGACTGTGCGTGTAAGCATGGGTGATATTGGTACTGCTCCGATATCTATATATTGGGTCTTTTTGGACATCGATGGATCGAAAACAAGGTCATCACCCACTTCGATATTGCCTGTACCGGTCAGATGTCTTTTTTTTATGCAACTTAGAATGGCACTTGATGGAAAGTAGTAAACATCGCCTATAGACATGAACAGTACCATGGACATAACAGAGTGTACTATTTACAACACCCACGGGAATGGAAGGGTGGCCCCATTCTATGTCGGGGCTACACAGCATTATTAGTCTGTAAAAAAGGTACTAATTACATATTAAGTTTATAATTTCAAATAAGCGTTTCAGTATTGTTTAAATAATGTTTTTATTTAAATTTAAACAATTTGTCTGTTGTTCTCTGAACAATCTGTTTAAATAATATGGAATTAAATATAATAATTGGTGACTGGCAAATACGCGACACTGCGTTCTAAATCTGAATATTTATAATTTGTTTACAAAAGATCATGTCATTTATTTGAGTGTGTTCACAGTTAAAGTACCAGAGGGAGATTTTGTACAAAAGTCGATTGCTTGGGTACCTCTGTCCCATTCGTGTTTCAACCGTGAAGCAGTTGTGTTTGCATGGCTGTGTTTCGGTTTGAAGGTTGGGATATGGCAGTGAATTTACATGATATAGAGGAATAACACAACGTCCTCAGGAGTGGCAACGCATGGGGGTATTTTGGGCGAAACAGTATACTCTGTTATGTCCATGGTACTGCTCATGTCTATAGGCGACGGTTACCACTTTCCATCAGGTGGACCGTCAGCTTGTTTGCCATTCTAAGTTGTGCAAAAAAAATCCACTATAGGAAGAATACTTTAGGTAGTAAATTATAAATACATGATTATGCAAATAATCGACGAAAACCCGTGAGAAAAATAGGAAGAGAGCATTTATTGTCTTTCCAAATATTGTCTCCGCTCAGATCAGAAGGTACAACTTTTAATGGAAAAAAAGCTACCAGGGAGAAAGAAAAAGAATTCAGTGAAGCATCAAAGGAATAAAATACAATATAACGTCATTATAATTGTACGAAGTCGACAATTTAAGCGACTTATAACTTAGCTTATAACTAACTTATAATGTTGAAGATCAATTCTTAGTAATTTGAATGTAACCTGTATTTTTTTTGTGTTTATAACAATACTAGTTTTTGCACGCGATTTCGTTCGTGACTGGTAATTGTTAACTGATCGAAATAAAAAGTAGCCTATGTGCTTTTCTGTTATTGTTGTAAGAGGCGACTAAGGGAACTTAATTTAGCACACAGTAGGTATATTTATGTGCCGTACGTAAAAACCTCGTAGAGTATAACATGTCTAGGTATCATTGAGTCACAGATTTTTTTTTATACAACTTAGAATGCAATCAAGCTGACGGCCCACCTGATGGAAAGTGGTAACCGTCGCCTACAGACATGAGCAGCACCATGGACATAACAGTACACACACATACTGTTATGTCCCCATGATGCCCATGAAACACAGCCATGCAAACACACCTGCTTCACGGTTGAAACACGAATGGGACAGAGGTACCCAATCAATCGACTTTTATACAAAGTCTCCCTCTGGGTCTCCTTCCCGTGGCTGTTATCTGTTATCTGGTCGACTAAAGGAACTCAATAGTAGAGGATAAGGCAGTAGCACCACTACAGCATCACTACAGGCTAAATGCGGTTGCCAACCGCCGCTTTTTACCGTATATATATATATACAATTAACGGTTGAGAGGATTGGAGGATATAAATGAGTACGACAAAATATAGGGATAGTGTAAACTGTGCAGGAAAAGCCGCGGGCAACGGTTTTAATTAAATTCGCTTTCCAGTGATATGCCCGCCGGCAATTTCTTTTTTCTACCACATTAATGTAAATAAGAGAATAAATTGCTTGAATGGATATTACGTTCATGTTGTTTGTTCTTTTTTTTATTAACATAATGCCAGTGATTAAGATTTTGCTAAAAAAATGTTCATCTTCTTACAAAAATAATGTTGATACTGTGCCTTCAAAGTACATGTTAATGTGGGAATCTCAGAATGTTTTCTCTGTGTTTCAACCTGATATTCCTTTGAGAAAAATATGTAATTTCGCTAATAGAATACGCTTTATATTATACTAATGTTTTTGATCACACCGTGTATGGATATTGGCTAGTTCTCATGGTTTCGTTTACACTGATGAACGACAAGTCTTACATAGATTCCCTACATTGTAATTATTTTAATTTAGAACGTGGACGAAATATTTCGTAGATACTGTACATTGTAAACATTTGAATTTAGAACGTATTTCAAAGATATCCAATTTTGTAAGTATTGTAATTTTGAATGTGGATGAGATATTTCATAGATACTCTATATTGTAGATATTTGAATTTAGAACGCGGACAAGATGTTTCATAAATAGCCTACTAATATTGTAAATATTTAAATTTTGAAAGTAGACGAGATGTTTCGTAGATACATTCTATATTGTAAATATTTGAATTTAGAATGTGGATGAGATGTTTCGTAGATACCCTACATTGTAAG